CACGTGAATGCATGCGTCAAACATGAGTCATGGTAAGATATCTGGATTAAGAGGTTGCTTTTTCTTTGCACAGGATGAAAGAAAGGCCAAAAGAATGGGCTGTGATTTTGTTTTTTAAGCAGAGGTTGAGTTCAATCATTTGTACGGCCCTCGGGGGATGTTGTAAAATTGAATGGCAAAAGGTTCCCCACCCCTGCTGTAAATAATAATAAAAACCCTTGATTTATAACTGTTATAAATCAAGGGTTTTTATTATTATTTACAGCAGGGGTGGGGAACCTTTTGCCATTCAATTTTACAACATCCCCCGAGGGCCGTACAAATGATTGANTCAAAATGGCCGACTTTCTGGGGGGCGGGGCTAATGGAATTTCTTTACAAATATGTCTGCAATTCCATGAGGAATGTCTGTGCCAACATTTGTGAAGTTCTGAGAAACTATATGTGAGTACCACACAATAGTGTGGTGCTGGTGAGCAGTTTTTTTTTTTAAATTACGTTTTTTTTTTACATTCTCGAAAACGTCGTGGGCTCTGACGTGTGTCCCAAGTTTATGCAATCGCAATTAAAAAAATGTATTATAGGCCACGCCCACATTCTGGATTTGTTGCGACACTTTAAATCTGAGTTCGTAGTCACGCCGAGAGTATGAGTATAAAAAAAATAAATAAAAAATAGTCCATCCGCTCTTGAGTTATAAATTGGTGGTGTTTTTGGCGCTCCCTATAGTCCAAAATGAAAATGCTTTGGTGTGCCTATTCCCCAAAACAGACTAAACCTATTTACCAAAAATCCGTGGTGTTTGGATACATTGTTGATGAGTTGTGAGCATTTCTTTCTAAGCCCTGCCTTTTTGCGAGTACGTTTTGATTCACGGCGGCAATATTTATAGTCCTAACATGCTCATTTTCTACGGTAATGTGTCTGACCCTCCACCGATGCTGTATACGAAGTTTGGTGTTGAAAAACTGAAAATTAAGTGAATATTTAATTGTTTATGTAAATTATGCCAATAAAAAAAAAAAAAAAGTAGGCGGAGCTTAGGGTTCCAAGAGGATTATTTGTAGAGCAGGTCCTCCCGGATATGTGTGCAAAATTTCAGGTCATTCGGAGTTACGGTGCGACTTTGTACATTTATTCCGAAATGGGGTTTTCATAGGTGGCGCTATCGAGCAAGTTGGACAATTTCACCCATTGACTCCAGAATATTGCATTTTTTACCGGTCCTGGCGTCCGTGCAAAATTATACAACTTTTTAAGCATCCTAAAGAACTCAAAAAGAGGAAACGCCAGCACGATAATAATAATACCACCAATAACAATAGGTTCCTCGCACTTCGTGCTAGGACGCCGTTGGGTCCTAGCGCTCCGTGCTCGGGCCCTAATAATATTCCAGTGTTGTGTTGCTGTATTTTAGTGGTAAAAAAATGCATTCATCATCATAATTATTCTATATATATAATTTACACAGTGCCTGTAAACCGGAGGAGTATGTTGGCATTTCTCCTCCTACTTGAAAGACTACGGAGGGATAGGGTCTGCAACATTTTATTTTGGGGATGGGCCGGATGCTCTGACCATTCCACTTCCTGCCCGGCGCCTCTGCAACGCGTCGAAAATATACTTGCATCCTATTTTGAGCGGAGCCCAGCGCCGAGACGCTTCTGAGCCGTAACACGGCTACATTGCTTTCATATTTTGATCCTTAGACTGGGTTACTGATAACATTTGGAAGAGTTCACTCGGTCACAGAGCGGGTGGTTGTTGGGGTCAGTTTTGAAAAGGGTCAGAGTGTGTCTGAGTCTACAGGGAGCCCTGTGCTTCGCTCAGCATCAGCAGGTGTGTACTGCCATCTAATGGACATTTCTGAAATGACAAGTGCATCTCAGACAGACTGACAACTACTTGGTTATCTTACACAGGAGCTAAAATATAAAAATGCAATATTCACTAACAAACACTACACAGGAACCGACAGGAACACTGAAATCAATTAACGATAGAGCCAACATTTTTAAAAACACATGAAATGTACTTCTAATATGCGGAAGAGAAATCAAACTGGACAGCAGAACTCAGAGTGTAGTCTAAAGAGGCAGGATAATGTGTGCAGGATAATTAACACAGATGTATGTAAAGTTCATAACTCAAATGCAATCAGTCCCCAAAAAGTATGCAAACAGCCCCACTAAAAACACAAAATAATGTCTTCATCACTAATGTGCAATCCTTATACAGTAGCTAAATGTCATGGGTAATCTCAGCAAATATCATTAACATATTTAAACAATAATTCAGAGAATGAGTGAAAAAACATTTTTTGTTGTATAAAAATCAAAAAAAATTAAAACTTTTTAAGTAGGAAGAATAAAAGTCACACAAGGTTGAAGCTACAATAACGTCTATTGGCGCTAATGCCAACTGCAGATTTGAATATTACAATACATATTGTAATAACACAGTACTATGTCCTGTAGCAACAATAAATGGAGCCCAGGTTTAAGTATATTGTTAAGTAAAACACATGAGAATTCATTGTATTTGTGACATTTAGGAAGTTTTGATACTATGAAGACCAATTTCAAATCACAAAAAATGAAAAATATATACAAAACTGATAACTCACTATATACTGTATGCTTTACCCCAGTGGAAAAACTGAAAATCATCGAGTGCATGAAGTTTGAGTATTTGATAAATTATTTATAATGTTCATGTTCTTGTTACATGGGTACTTAATAATTTACAGAGTGTCATTTCTCTTGCACACACACAGAATCTGCCTATAAACAGCTGTGTACGCATGACTCAACTCAGAGTGATTTCTGATGGCAGCTTCAATTTCAAACCAGTTCCGACATATTAAAACGCACAGATTCTCCGAACGCCAAAACATTCTCCATTCCCTCGCCGTTTTCGATTAGCAAAGGGTAAAACATTCATGGAGTCATCGTGCAGCTTGTGAATGTGGAGTTATTTGAAGCTGTATAAATAATGGAGGTATGCTGTCTTGCAATCAACTCTCCCTGAATTGATTCTATGTTGTTTTACTACATATTATTTTCTACATTTTTCTTGCGGGATTAAAGTCAGTGTGGCTCCAAATAAGGGAACGCTGCTGTGAGGCTGGTGCGTGATTAGTCTAAATAATAACTGTTCATGCAAGTACGGCAAAAGAGTAGAAAGTTGTTACAGAAGCAAAAACTGCCAAGACCACCAACCAAATCATAACCACCCGAATTGATGTCTTACAATACTGAAGGTTTAATTAAAGATTGGCCGAGAAAACAAACTGTCATTACAAAACAGCTTCACTGTCAGTTCCTTCCAAACTATCCCCCTCTATGCATATTTCATTAGGCTGGTCATAAATATATATTCCTTGAGTTAAGACATGTTTAAATGCCAAATATAAAGGCGCCACCTCAAGATTAGGATGGATGGCAAAGCTGTTAGTTTGCCTGTTGTGCCCTAGCTGTGTCCTAGGATCTACTTAAATGTTGTCTGAGTTTGTATATTGTTGTACAAGCCAGTGACCAGGAGGTGGCACAATAGGTCATAATATCATATGCATCACAGCCAGAACTGTGATAAAGTAAATACAAATGCATTTCAAAGAGGACATATTCTTGTCATTTTCAGATTCATATTTGTACTTAGCATCTCTACTGTCACATGTCTCCATGCTTTAGTGTTCAAAAAGCTCTTTATTTTTCTCATACTGCCTGTGCTGCAACACCTCACCCTCTGTCTGAAACCAGAGCCCAGTATGCTCTGATTGGTTAGCTGGCCGGCTCTGTTGTGATTGGTCAACCGCTTAGAGCTGTGTCTGATAAGTCCCACCCCTTAGCATATCTTGTAAAAATGTGTTGGAGCACTAGCCAATAGAATTGGTTATTAAGGGCATGTTTTATGTCATGGCTTTACATTACATGGAAAAATCACAATGTTAAATGTATTGTCTCTCACTAACCTTTACTACAAAAATTAATTCTTAATTCTAAATGAACAATTATCCTACTTCGGTTGACAAGCAATGGTAACCTTTAAATGCTTTTAGTTTACTCCTGAGTTTAAAGGTCCCATGTCATGCTTTTCCGGTTATTACCCGTCCCCTTGTGTGTTATTAAGGTTGTTATGCATGTAAACGGTCTGCAGATTCACAAACCCTCAAAGTACACCCTGTAGCGAGTAAAACTCTAACACAGAAAATACCTGTCTATGCTGCCCCAGAACGCCTCGTTTGAGATTTCTCTTTTTCCATTTTTTTTCTTCCTTGTCACAGTGACGTAACAACGACCAAATGGACCAATCCGTGGAGCTCCTCACAAACTCACTCAGCCTTAACTTTTCTCAGCCGCGCTACTCCAGAGTTTCGCCGGCACACACACTCACTCAGCCTTATCTTTTCTCATTCTGTGAGTGTGTGGCGAACAGCCTGGCTGTGAGTGTGTTTGTGTGTGTGTGTGCTCAGGTTGGGTTGGGTTCTGCGGTGTTTCGCAGACCCCACGCAGCAACCAGGAAACGACACCATTAATCCAGCTCACACTGTCCGCTCCTCAATCCTCAAAGGGCGGAGCAGCGAGCCCCACAACGTCCCGCCAACACGGCACCCAGACCCCACGCAGCATTCTCATCTGTTTGTCATTACTGGTGTCATTTTCTGGTTGCTAATGCCATTGTAACACATAAACACACATCGGAGCACAGTGGGCTCATAGGGAGGGGGGGGGGGGGGGGGCAGGAGCTCCAACAAGCCGTTTAGGACAGAGAGTGAATACACATACTATACAGAGATGCTGTATGAGAAACCAATGTGAGTTTGGAAGATTGCACAATGTAAATCTATTCTAGTAGCCCTCAACAATGGAATTATGATCAGTAGAAATGGCCATGACAAGGGCCCTTTAAACATTTAAGACTACCTTCAGGAAATGTAGACATTTCATAACTGTTCATCTTCTTTTTTTTTTATTACTTGCATTTAGTGGTGCATTTTTTTTAACAACTCACCGATAAGGCTTGTCAGAGTTATGAATCCGACGGTGGTTCCTCACGCCGACATAAGTGGAGCTGGTGTAGTCGCACACATCACACTTATACATATTCTGCACAGCACATTCTGTAAGAGAGGACAATTCATTTAAAAATGTTCTGAAAACAGTGACACAAAGCATGTGGCAACACAAGGAAAAGTCACATGGAGGGCAAACTGGTTTGTGTCATGAAATGATTTAAATATATTGTAATAATTTCTTACCATCCTAACACATAATGGGGTTAGGAAAGCAGATCTTACCATCATCTGTGACCCGCTCAGCGTCCTCCACCATGGAGACAGTTTCAGTGACGGGGGTGAGGCCGGACATTTCCTCGCTGAAGCTGTGCTGCTCCCTCTCATGGCTCCTTAACTGACTCTAGGAAAGGGAAACACACATATCCAGGATGAGATGGCAGTACATGCTGTCAACTACCCAACTGCAAACTTATGAGGCTGGCCACTAGAGACGAGGAAAATTAAATACAGACAAAACATGATAATTCATAATGGTTTCCCCATTTATCGAAAACATTTGATTTTGCCTCTGTAAACGTGAGAAACGTAATGTCTTCTATTGAATAGTCCTCACACAGCTGGGCAATATATATCCATAATATATCAATAATCAGATTGATTTTAGAAACACAATATGGCCTTTCCCTGGTTTTAAATCAATCAGAATACTTTATTTATCCCAGGGGAAATGTTGGTTTAGTGACAGTTGCTGCATTTTAGAATGAAATAAAATAAAAATGTAATAAAAAATATCAAATAAATAAAAAATATCAAATTCATTTAAAAAGTGCAATAAAAATATATAATGAAATAAATATATTAACATAAACAGAAAAGGTTACAATAAAATATCCATCAAAATGTAAAAAAAATTGATGTTGTCTACATATTATTGTTCCACCTGGTATCTGCAGATTTACCACTGATTGGCAATCAGTGCTATATACGACATTCAGAGTGCACGGCTCTCTCCTCTGACATCACAAGCAAACATGGGAGTGGTTGGAAGCACTTCAACTGCTATCAAAAGCTGACAGTGTCAACCTGAATGGGAACCAGAGGGTTGGCATTATGCTTTCGTAAGAACAGCAGTACGTGTTGCACGAGCGCAGAGCGACGGCGATTAGCTAGCCATTGGGACACACAGTTAGAATCTGCTCAGAATGCCATTACACTTATATTTTTCAGATTATTTTTTTTTACGCTATATTAGTATTCTGCATGATGTTTAGGAGGTCAGCGCTAACGTTTCTACAACTTATTGTGGTAAAATGACCAAAATAAGTTAAAAAAAAACATCAAATCTGTTTCTTTCCATTAACCAAAAGCCCAAACTTATTAAGAAATGGAAATTAAATGAGTAAGTGTACAAACTGCAGGTTTTTGGAAATACAGTTCTACTCTAAGCCAGCGTTCAATTTTTTTCTGGGAATACATAAAGAATGTCCCCAGGATAGGGCATCTCTTTCTATTTTACTATAATGAAGACCTGGGAGGCCAATTCAGAGTACAACATCAGCTGTTTCAATGGCTTCTATAACGCTAAACATTATAATATACTATTAAACAATCGTACAAATTAAAAGCTGTGTGAGCGTTGTCTCCTCACCTTGTAGTGGAAGGCATCAGGGCACTGCTTGCACTGGTACATCCTGGTCTTGCAGTGGTGGATCATGTGGCTCTCCAGGTCCTTGCTGTCTGAGGCGATGTGCTCGCAGATGGGACACTGATAGGGCTGTCTCTGCCTGTGTACCCGGAGGTGCTGTTTGATGTACCCCTTATTGTCGCTGCTGTAGCGACACAGGCGGCACCTGTACGGCCTTTCATTTCCGGGGATGTAGTCCACCAGTCCCCCGTCAGAACTTGTCACCAACCCGTCCATTCCAGGAATGCTACACATGTAGCTCCCTGCTCCGTTTCCTGTCACCACACTCTCTACAGCTCCGTTATGGAACTGAGCGTTGTCCTGAAGCTCCTTTAAGATATCCTCGTCGGAGGCGTTCTCGTCCGAGCGTTCTCTGAGTCTCTCGATGACGGTTAGCAATGACAGGCTGATTCCCGCTTTAGTGGCAGTGCCCACCTCGTCTCCCTCCCCCAGGCACAAGGACCCCAATTCTTCTTCTCTGGCCTCGCCGTGAAGCTCTAAGTCCAACAGAGCTGCGGTCGTCTCCGCGTCAGAAGTCCTCTGACCGGCTGTTGTCACCTCGACCCATTTCTGGTTGGGGCTCTGTGTCTGGGCTGTGCCGGTCCTAAGACTTACCTTTGTGCTGTAGGGGGGGGGCTCGGTGGTCCTCATAGGCATAGCTACCAGGACCTCAGCCGCCAGAGAGTGCAGGCGCAGGGACTCAGAATGTGTCCTCTTTCGACCAGCTGGGGGAATGTTTTCATCCCGTGGAGAGTCACTACCCACAGCAACAGACTGTTTAAAATCTGCTACTAAAGGTATGCTGTCAGGAGTGCTGCCCAGAATGCAGCTAGACACTACTTCACCCTTTGCAGCTCCCACATGGCCCCGCTCCTCATTCGCATCCAATGAGTTCTTCTCCCTGTCCACGTGCGGGCTAAGAAGAAGAGGGTTGGTCGCCATGACGGAATCCTCAGCTGAAGGAAGGCGTTCCACGATCACGTTGATGTGTCCGGCACTGTTGGGACTGCTGTTGATGATCTTTTGTGCCGATGACAGTAAGCTGTCCTTGATGAAAGCGCTGTTTTGGTGATTATCGATCTCCACCTTGGCGTCTGCCTCCGTCGTCACCTGCACCTCTACCATGGGCTCCTCTTTGATAGGGTACACGCTTTCCTCCTCTTCCATTTTCAAACTTTCTTTGATATCGGAAACTGGACGATTCAACGCGTCATGTTTATTCTCAGCCTTCATTGGCTCGCAGAGCTGGAGCTTGAAGGCAGTGGGCAGCTTTTGGAGGCTTTTATCTTGAGGAACTGGTGAAAAAAAGACTATTTCCTCTCTGGTTGCAGCACTGTTAGGTGCAGGCTGGGACTCTTTCCTTGCGGTATTGCCATCTTCCCCCTCGAAGATTGGGTAAGAACAATCCACCAAGCCGGCATGCTTCCAGGCGTGAGTTTTGAGCATTCTCTGCTGGCTGCAAACATAGCTGCAGATCAGACAGCGATACAGCCCATACTCCTCGAAGCTATACCACTTCTTCTTCTGCGGGAGCTCTTTTGAACCGTCCAATGGGCTACTATCGTTCCAGTCCCCATCCTGCATTCTTAAAACCTCCTCCTTGCCCTCGCTGTAGGTATCAGACAAATTGCTCGTCAGGTTTCCTCCGTTGTCGAAGTGCAGCCTGACGTGGGCCTCCAGCTGCCCCTGGTCTCTAGAGGTGAAGCGACACTCGGAGCACATAAGGATGAGGTCACTGTGCTGCTCGTTGTGGTGCTTAAGGTGCTCTTTCAGCATAGGCAGTGTCTGGGAGAGGTAGGGGCACAGGCTGCACTGATAACAGGTCACCGTCCGTTTGTGGTCGCCACTGTTGGGGTTGTTTGATGCCTCCATTAATGTGATGTTGTTGTTACGGTCACCTTCTATTCGCATCTCTTCTGCGTTATCCTGCACCTTACAGTTTCTCTTAACTTTCTTTAAAGGAGAGCCACCTCTGCTCCCTCTCGCCCCTTCCTCACCTCCTCCCCCTCTTTTCTGTCCCGCCATGGTGCAGCGACGCTGGGGCCGCTTCTCCACGATTTTGCTGAGCTTCTCGATGACCTGGATTAGAGAATCTGCCGCTCGTTTCTGCTGAAGACTCTGGGAGGCGTCTTCCTCCACAGCATGCTGGGCTACGGGCTGAGAGAGAGATCCCAGTGCTGACGGAGCGGAGGAGGAACAGGTGGTGGAGGAGGAGTGTGTGATGAGTACAGCATTGCTGACCTCCTCCATGACCTGGCAGACAGCAGGGGAGAAAGACATGACTTTGTTAACTGCTTGGAGTTATAGATTGTGCACTAGATTTAAACAGATTTCTATACTGAAATGTATGAACACATTATTTAAACTCACACAAACAATTTCAATGATTTTTAAGACGTAGGTAATGTGGACCAAATTATCCAAATGATTTTTAAATCGATGATCTGTCTACGTAACGTAAATGATTACTTTGTTTTAGTATGGGATAACATTCTAAGAAAGGAAAGTCCTCCTCACAGTTTGTCGTAGGGCACAATGACATCTTCAAATTGCTTGCTTTTCAAAGTTATCAGTTTACAATAAATTAATAATCGACAATTTTTGCAAGCCTTAACATTTAAGTATGTGTGGATGCTTGGTAGATTAAATAATTATTGTTATTATTTTAATTATGATTAGCGAAACAGTTACACGTTTTCTTATGGATTCATTTCATAATATTAGATATTGTCATGCATCTATAGAAACGACGAGCAAAAACAGTTTGTAACTCACAAGGGTTAATATTGACTTGACAAAAAATTGCTTTGGCTCACATTCACATTTTAAACTAAATGTTGTCAACCTTTGCAATTAAAGAAGAATTCAGTATTTCAAATCATGTAGTCATGGTGGCTTTTGAAAACATATTTTACATTCATAGAAGACAAACATTCACTAAGTTTCTGTTCTGCTTCTACCACAACTTACACTACTGTGCGTTGCAAAATTTTAAAAAGGAATTTAAGTAAAAGGAATTTTTTCTAATGCCATGCATTTATAATACATAATGTGTTGTGTTGCTGTACGGCACCCTAAGGCCAGGCTGATGAAGTAGGGAGAAACGTTTGCAAACACATGTTGCATGTTAGCAAACTGTATGCTTGGTTATAAGCATGGAAGACTGTATTTTGAGAACTGATCATGTGATTTCATGTTTCGCACTTTTTATGTTTATCAAAGCACTCTTTGTGGGGCTCTTTGCATCAAACGTTTTCTACAGTGAAAGTAAAGCATTTCAAAATCTAGCAAGAGTCTAACAGTGACTCTATTTCTAGTATTGACCTTTCTATTGGGGGGGGGGGCGTAGTAATCAGCAGCGAACCGCTTCAACACGTGTATTTCAGTTTATTCACAGCATTCATTTTATTATTCTACAGTATTGTTGTTTTATAGTTCTTTGTTAATGTAACCCAATTTGTGTTCTTTGAAATTGAAAAGGATATTGCATTGTGTTTGTTACTTTCGTTGCAGTTGTATATGTCTTAAAGTCAGTGATGCAAACACAGGTATGGTGAAAAAAGAGAGAACTATTTGAAGCATAAAAAAAACAGCGTAATATAACATCTGACAAAGGCCTGTGCTATAATGCTTCAATTAACTGGCTATTCTTTATAATATACTCAGATCAATAGGAGACAGAGATGTTAAGTTATAAATCAAAGGTTTTTTATATTAT